AACTCAAGTTTTTCATGAATAAAAGTCAAGTGCGTCGGCTAGGAGAGTGACTTTTGAACATCCTCTCTTCTAGTCTGGCCGAACACTCTTCTCCTCTCCTTCTTCTTCTTTCTCTTTTCTTTCTTCTTTCTTCTTCTCTACTTTGACCTAGAAACAACTAGGGTTTATTCACATAGGCCAATGGTCCGAGGTCACTCTTGGCAAAGCTCTAGAAACAAGCCAGCTCTAGTGGTTCTCCCAATCAATTGTAAAGAAGAACCTATCTAGTTTGGAGCACATTGGTTCAGCTTGCAAATTAGACCACGTAAAGTTGCTAAAAGAGGCAGTTCCTTAAGCCCAAATGCATCAACGAAAGAGTTGAACCTCCTCATACTCAAATTAGTTATCCTTCTCGGATTATTGGTTTCTTCCAAGAATCTTATCACATTAAAGCCCCCCGGGCACCAAGGTCCATCCCACAAACCCTTAATATCATCTAATTCTTCCCAAAGCTTATCTCTTTCCTGATACCCATCAAGTCCATACACATTTGTCAATCACCATTTCACATTGTCACAATACATCCCAAGGCTCCACATTCCTCATCCCCCTTGACATCTCTTTTCAATCTTTCCACTTCACTCAGCTTCCTTTTCTTTGCCTTGCCTCTCTCCTTAATCTTTCTTAAATAAACCTTCATGTCCATTGGCTCTTGCACTATGCACCCAATTTTTTCACAAATCCAGCCACTGAATCACCCAGTCCAGACCCTTCCTTTTTTGCTCGCATCTCCTCAGATTCTCCCCCTAATTTCAGATTAAGGTTATCATCCTTTGTCCTCCTCTCACCCTCCTCACAGCAATCTCCGCACCACCTCCCTGCTTACTGCTCGCAGAACATGGGCTGAACTAGAACCTGGAACAACAGTAGCAGCCACAGAACAGAGGATAGTATCAAAAACAATACCTGGTTCCTTGTGAGGGCAGGAAACAATCGCACTAGACAAATGGCCTGACTTTCCATGTTCAGGAATTTGAAGCTCGCCAATTGCCCTAGTTGGGGTTTCCACTGGGAAGTCTCCAGTTGGAGAATTAATACTTTGAATACTGCGAAGACTCTGCCGCCTATCCCCTCCTGGATCCCACCTGTTTAGTCTCTGTCAATCCTCAACTAATCCCTTATGCACACCCTACCTCAAATAGGAATTTTGTTCTGGCATCCTCTTGACTGGGCTTCAGTTTCCCACCTCTTCATCCATTTTGTACTCTGCCATGTTAACACCTTTACTTACTGCTTCTGGGTCCAAAGCTGAGGTCTCCTTAGGACTATTGTCTTCCCCTGTGAATAGAATGCCAGTGTTTAGAGAATCATCAACCCTCTCAAGTTGTTCTTCCTCCTCCCCTACATTGTCTATAACTTTAGTTTCTTAGCTTTGTTTAATGATTTGGAACAAGATAACAATTTAAAAAGGTATGCCCACCCTTCCTTTATCATTTTATAAAATATCGTTCTATATTTTTTCATATTTTGCAATGTTTCCACCATGTCTATAATTTTTACAATATTGCCTCCATTATTCCCTCCATTTTTGACATGTTTCCTATATTTTGGGTGACTGACATTTCCACTGACACCAACTTTTAAACCATAACTGAAATTATTTTATTAATTAATGAGACAATACAAGTGTTATGTACAGGGGTTATGCCAAAGATCACACATTTTTAACCATGTTCCTTTCTCTTTTAAATCTACATTATCATCCATTTCCCCAATAGGTTATTCCCCATTACAGATGCATTCCATTGAACCAATGTTTAGCCAAAATATCTGATACAATTAGATGATATCTGAACCTGGGTGAAGGTAGCTCCTAAAACTCCAGCTAGCTGCCTGATTTAGAACTGTAATTTATCATTATAGCATCAAAATATACCTCCTACACCTGACTGGGGATTCCCATGCTACAGCTATCAAATTTCAACTTAATTTATGCTGGAAGGGACCATACAGTTGAAATCAAACTGTTGGCTAAAGATGAAGATGATGAAGACATGATGTGTTTCCAGGTTCATAACATATACACCAAGAAATGCCCAGAAAGAAGTAAGGTTTTTGCCCAATGAATTGCCTTCCTTCTCTTTGTATATCATCTTATCTTTATCTTAATAAAATTCTCTTGATCTGTTTGGTACCAATAAAAGAATCTTGATATCAGATATAGAGAAAAATGCATTCATATTTCCACTTCTATCCAAAAAAGAACTACAGAAACACAAGGATTCATGAGGTGTATAACATAACAGAAACACAAATAGGCTGGAAAAAACATATATTGTAAAAGCAGAAAAGCTCTCCAAGCATCAAACAACAATAATATGATAACAAGTGCATAGAATACCCAATAAATTTAATAAATCTCTCCAACTCAGAGGCATATAGATTTACGGCTTCTTCCAAGATAGCAACTTGATTTTTTTGCCTGGCCAACAAAAGATGAATTATAGAAGAATTAAAACAAGAAAAAGACAAAACAACCTGGAAATGCAAGATCTAAAATTCTTTTTTATATTTTATGGCTGTTCTGCCATTGGACTGTCACATGATTAAACACATAGTGCAATATATCTCACAATTTTTTAGCCTCAAACCGCCCCCAAGATAGAAGAAGAAACAGTCGAATAGAAAGCACCATTGTTGTAAGGCAGTATAAAGATGGTCCATAACGTTGTCGCTGCTCTTCCATAGGTCTACACATACAAAGGGTTCAATATAAGATTCCCACATGTTGTGGTGTTATACTAAAGACAAGCTTGGATGAAACAATTTAAAATATAGACATATAGTGATACCCCTTTTTAAGGAAACAGATCCCCATTCTCTTCCACAATGAAAATTGACATTATTAAAAAATCAGACATCAGAGATTGTCAAGCTGCCAAAAGGGAAAGAACCATATGGACAATGGGTTTTTGCAGTGAAGTACAAGTCAAATAGCTCTACTAAGAGATACAAGGCTAGGTTTATTGCAAAAAGGTTACACTCAGGCAAATAGAATGGTCTATTAAAAAACAGATGCACCAACTTCCAAGTTGAATTCAGTCAGGGTGTTATCTCTCATGTTGATAGTTATCACAGCCTGTATTTCAGCTTGATATAAAAAATGAGTTCCTAATGGAAATTTTCATGACTAAGCCTACATGTTGCTGCTCGGTTTTTATAATTCCACTAAAAGAGGGAAACTATGCAGCTTGAGGAATCTACTTATTGACCTAAACAATCTCGGTATGATCACTTTAAGGAGTTATGCAATCTATAAGGTTAGGGTTTCACCAATCATAGTATGTGAAGAAATAGTTGGTTAGCCACGAGTATGGGGTTCCATACCCACACTCAGGCTCTAGTGTGTGTGGTTTCATACCCACACCTAGTTGTTTCTAATTTCTTTTAAGTTGAGCCGGTTGGCCTTATTGTTTCTAATTTTTGTTTATTTCCTATTCTTGTAAGGAACCTAAAGCTATAAATAAAGAAGTGTATGGGGTGGCAGATCATTAACCACCAAACCCCTTCTTTCTTTTCTCCTCTCTTC